GGGCGGGAGATTCGGACATTCTCACAGGTCTTTCTTTTGATGACGCGACGTGTGCGTGCGAAGTTATGGTATGGTGCGCGGCACGGTGGTGGTGTTTTGTTGTACATGTTGTTGTGTATGTCGTCCCCGCCACGACACTTGGACGCTTCCGCTTCCATTGCATGCATACACACATTCATCATTACGCTATACATCTTTTCAGTCATTCCCGCACCATTGCATGCATACACACATTCATCATTACGCTATACATCTTTTCAGTCATTCCGCAATGATATTGAAATCAGTCAGTCTGCTCTGTCTGTATGTGGGCAGCGCGCGACAAAGACATAGGTAAGTGTGTCAGAGTCAGTCAGGTTGATCGATCAAGCAGTCACTGTTCTTCCTATACAGACCATGCAATCACTGTCCAGCTGCACAGCCAACACTTTACACGGCCAGTTATCCATCCATCCATCCGCCCACCCAGTTGACCTTACTTTTACTCGGTGGCCATCTTTCTTCAATCTCACTCACTCACATCGATTCACGTCGGTCAGTCACAATACAAGACACTGCTTACACACACGAGCAGCCCAGCCACCCAGAAGCCAGGCAGGCAGTGGAAAGTCGAACCACATCCATACAACATGCGCCGCCCCTATCATCCTTGCTGCGCCCTGTCTCCGCCACCACCACCGGCATTGCCATTTGCCGGCGCCGCTCCCCTCCCCCGCCCCCTCCCCAACGGCAGCAGCCGAGCACGGAAGGCCCGCCAGCCCCTGTTGATGTTGGCCACAGGCGCCGCTTGCACAGGGGCCGGTGCTGCAGGGGCAGCAGCAGCTGCCGCGACGGCAGCAGGAGGGGAAGGGGACGCATCAGGCCGATGCACGCCGTCATGCCGCTCCTCTGACACACTCGCAACACCCTCACTGGGCCCATTATCCGCTCGACGCCTCTCCCGCACCCCATCAGCAGCGGCTCCCTGATGGGTGGGTGGGGGTGCTTGTGGGTGTGGGTGTGGGTGTGGGAGCATGTTGCTGTCGGTGAGCTGGGGTCTGCGCGGTGGAAGCGGTGTGCGCGAGAGGATATGAATGTCGCCGAGGAGCATGGCGGAGACGCGATGGACGTCGTACCTCAGCCGGATGGCCTCCTTGTACGTCACGGCCAACCAAAAAGACAGACTGGCCATGTCCAACACGGCCTGAATGAAGGAGGACATGAGCAGGGATAGGGGTGTGTGTGTGTGTGTTTCGCGTGTCTGAGTGTCTTGGCATGGCGGGCGTATGAACGTACCTGTGCGGCCATGTCGACGTATGAGGTGAAGATGGAGTAGACGAAGTAGCTGAGGGATGAGCGCAGCTGGGCCGTGGCGGTGCTGTTCATCCATATCACCAACACCAAACGCAACTGACACATCACATCACATCCCCCCCACACACACAACCACCTCACGGCCCGGCCTCCTCCGTGTGCTGTGCTTGGTCGCAAGTCCGTTTGGCTGGCGTGTGGTGTGGTTCACCTCTCACCTTGCTTAAGACGGGTGGGTTGATCTGTATGATCCGAAGAACCATCGAGCCCAGCAATGAGCCAGGACCTGCAAAGAAAGGAAGTGCCGGCGCGAATGAGAGTGCACAGCCGGGCTGGTGTGTGGGTCTGTGTGATGTGACCTCCGAGTGGCGATTCCAGCCTTCTGCTGATGTCGCGGATGGACGGCTGCAGAATCTCGTGGAAGTGCAGGAAGCCCCACAGATTCAACACACAGAAAAACCTGCACACACAGACAAGGAGGGAGGGAGGCACCAGATATGATCGATCCATCTGTCAAGTAGACGGCTGTGCTGCACTTTGTTCGCAGTCAGCACTGACTGAGACTGACCAGTGTATATTCTGGAAAGCGACGTATAGCCTGCTCCAGTTCTCAGTCACGCCCGACGGATGCGGCAGGTCATCCCCCGCCCCGCCGGCCCCACTCTTGGCCACATCCTTCCTCCACCCGCCTCCCCCAGCACCGCCTTTCCAATACCCCCTCTCGGCCTGGTCGTCATCGTCCAGCAGCGACGACACCAGCGGCGAGCCCCTGTTGTTGTGGGGCCGCACCGTCTTGTCTGACTGCCGCTCGTGGCCAGTGGTCTGTTCTGCGGGTGCTGTTGTCCAGAAGTGTGGGAGGTTGAGCGAGTAGAGGTCGGGGATGGTGTGGAAGATGCCGTCGGGGGTCATGCGCAGGGTGAGGGGGGGCCCGGGGCCGCGCGACACGTACTCCCAGAAGAAGGACGAGAACAGATGCACCTTTATCGCCACGTAGAGGAAGTGAACCAGCGCCAAGATGATGCAACCTGAATGAACACAAACACAAAAGATGGTGCAGAGGGAGAGGGAGAGGGAGGACCATTCTCCTGTCTGTGTGCGCCATCGCTGACCGACCTGCGACCCTCTGAATGACGCCCCAGACGACCTCCCTGTCGGCCTCGAAGAGCACGTGCTTCCATGGGATGGGCTGCCCGCCCTTGCGCGTGATGGTGTAGCGGTAGTGCTGCCCGCAGTTGGAACACCGAAACTCTCGACGCGACAACGGACGCGACGCCAACCACTTCCGCAGACACTCCTGTGTGACAGACAGAAGCAGGAAAGCAGGGAAACAAACACAAACCTGGGCATGCCAAGAGTGCCTTTGCGGTGCTGGTTTTTCTGTGTGTGGTTGTTGTGTGACCTGATGCACCCATCCGATGGACCCCTTGCACTCGCACGGGCTGATGAGGTCATGCTCCTCGTCATTCGAGTAGCATATCCAGCACGTGGGGCTCTCGCTCGCACCCGTGCCGTCACGATGACCCGGTGGCACGGCAGCAGACGACGCCATTGGAAGCCTCCTGAGCTGAAAAAATTCAGCAACGGCCTCGAGATTCTCCTCTGTTAAAGTCAGCAGGGAGCGGACGACACTGGGCGCATCACGCCTGAGGCTCCAGCTCGCCCACTGTTTTACGGACACGCCTGCCCCAAGTGCAGGCATTCTTCCTGCGGCGGGTTTTGCAGTGAGCCTGGCTGGCAGCCGCTTTGGCACCCAGCCACCGCCTCGAGTTGCCTGCCACTCCTTGGTCCACCTTCCTTAGTCCGGAGCACACGTAGAGCACACTCGAGAGGCCTATTGTCGATAGAGATGGCGCATTTCATGCCTGAGGATGTGCGCTACCTGGCGCGCTACTACGGCCTCGTCGAGATCCAGACCAGCAACCCTATTCTACTGGTCCGCAAGCCAGCACCCACCCACCCACCCACCCACCCACGGTTGTCAGCTGATGTGGCCTTGCCGTGTGCCTCTGTGTGTGTGTCTTGGTTTTGCAGAGTTTCGATAAGCGAGGTGTGTGCCGCATCGACGTGTACTTCACGACGGGTACGGTGAGCACGTCGCTGCAGCACCCGACCAAGGGCGCGACTCAGCTGCACCGCCGCAACTGCACCCTCCGCGACCTGGAGCTGATATTCGACGACCCCCGCAAACACATCGGCGGGCCCGGCGGACCTAACGGGTGAGTCAGTCAACGAATGCCGTGGTGGTGTGGTCATTTTGTCACGTCTGTGCCTGTGTCTGCCCCTGTGTCTGTGTGTGTGGTGACAGGTACCATGTTCGTGACTCCCGCAATTTGCACGAGCAGTGGGACCGCAACCGCCAGGGCATCAGCCGCTGGTCCGGCAACAACAACGGCCGCTGGGCCAACAACGACATGCTCTCCTACTTCTGACTACTCACTCATAGACCCGACCTACCTACCTACCTACCAACCAAACACACGCACAACGGGCGGGGAGGGAAGGAGGGAGGGAGAGAGGGAGAAGGGCGTGTGTAGATGGATGGATGGATGGATGGATGGATGGCATCTGTGTTCATCTGGGAGAGGCCAGAGCAGATCAGAGTGGGGCATATCGTAAGTAAGTACTCCATCTCATTCGTGAGTCAGTCTATCGGTGTGATATGTTGTGTTGTGTTGAAAGTAAGCAGTGCGTGTGCGGGTGCGTGTGTGTGTCTGTGTCTGTGTCTGTATGTGTGTATGTCCATCGGCCGATGGACCCCTGGTTTTGCCTGTGTGCGGTGCATTGACGTCCCGATGGAGGCCAGGCTCTGCATCACCCTGACCTGCCGACACAGCTCAGCAGGTGGTGTAGAGCTTGAGCTTCTTCGGTGCAGAAATGGATCACACAGGTCCGCCAAAAGCCAACCACCACAGTGTCGTTGGTTGGTGCCTGCCTGCCTGCCTGCCTCACTGCCACAATCCCTCTACTTGTGAATATGCCTCCCTGTGTGGCTCTCTCCCAGTTTCTGCATGTGCCTGTCTGCCCGTCTGGCTGCCTTGTGTGTGTGTGTGTGTGTGTGTGGCTGTCTAGCCGTCAAAATGCATGGCGACTGATTAGACATCCACCTCCGTATTTATGATTGCATGCATTGCACGTCACGTCCACACATCTTCATACGGCACATACATTGTATATACTCTCTATTTGTGTGTGTATGTCTGTATTTGTCTGCTGGCGTGGCGCAGTGAGACCTTTCTAACGACACACCGCATATATGTGTTGGTTGTGATGGCATTTCCAACAGAAAACGGTGGCAAAAGATGCATGAGTGAGTGAATGAAGACAGTCGGTTCGTTCGGAGATCGCTAGGTCATTCACACGTTCAAATGCACCTATTTATCAGTCACACAGCCGTCGCGTCGCGTCGCGTCCATCCGATCCGCACAGACTAAAAGGCAGGCTGTCAGTCCATTGCTGTCACATCCATGCATCCTGTCTTCGCTGCTCCCTCCCCCCGGCTGTGTGATAGAGTGCGACCATGCACACGTGCATGAGCTGCTCGTGGTTGACGGGCAACACATGGTCGTGCGCAGGTTCGATCAGACACACACGGCCATGGGTGGACATCCAAAGCCGATCCTCTGTCTGCACAAGCAAAACCATCCAACAAGCCATCGATTGATTCCGTCCGTCCCCCTCTGTCTGCTATGCTAGCTATCCGCCCTGTGACTCCTTCTGTTTGTCGATGGCCTTTTCGATGGCCTTCCTGGCGAGGGCGGCGTTCCTGAGCTGCGCCACCCGCTTCTTGACCACCCCCTCGAGCCGCTCCTGCAGCGGGGGAATCTCCTTGAGGAGCTTGACGCGCTCCTCGTACTCGCCCTGGATCATCCTGCCCGCCTTCTGCATGTCGCCCTGCATCTCCATCTCGCGGCGCTTCAGCTGCTTGACCAGAATCCGCTCCTGCATCTCAGTCATCCGCTTCAGAGACGCAACGTCGCCGTCGCTGCCGAACGCCGAGCCGTCAGTCGGCCGCTGGTGGTCCTCGATGCCCCGCTTGCCCGCCTGTGGCCGCCCTGACACGGCCGAGCCGTTGAGGTGGCCTGAGGAGCCGCGGAGCAGGGTGGATGAGGAGAGGGCGGCCGCTGAGGGGTTGGCCTGTCTAGCGGGTGGTGCGAGCGCGCGACGGAAGGCGGCGATGTCCTTGTCGCTGAAGTAGCCCCGGCTGTTCCACTCCTCCACGAGGGCGTGCAGCAGAGGGGTGAGGGCGTAGCGGTCACGCAGCTTCTGCACACACACACAAACCCAACACACACGCGCAGACAGGCACAGACAGAAACACTTGGTGAACGGATTCCTTTCTCAGGTGCAACCCTCCATTCAGCCATCTGTCTGCTCTGTTCTGTTCCGTTGGTACGGCCGCACCTTTAGAAGGTTCTCCATGATACCGCCGCCCGCGGCACCGGCCGCCCCTCCCGCGGCATCACCCGCAAAGTGGCCCTTGAGGAAACCGATCCTGTCGCCCAGGAATGCGCCAGACATGACCGAGAAGAACTCGTATATCTTGGCATTGCCCTCCTGAGAGCCACACTCCGCCCCACCGATGGCGGCATCGAGCTCCTGCTGCCACACACTGGCGAGGTTGCGGAAGTTGTCGTAGTCCTGAAACATGGCGGTGGCGGAGCTGACGGCTTGCTGGTTGCCGTGTCCCAGCTGTCGCAGCAGGGACCGGAAGCGCTGCTCCTTCACGTCCCACGACTCCATGATGGAGGGTCTGTGTTCGAGAGGAAGATGAGCTGAATCGAGAGGCACAAGGCTCTGCTTGATGGATCTGCTCAAGGCAGGGGGATAGACGATAGGGGAAAGCGCTCCTCTAGCAGCAAAGAAGCGCGCATCGGGTCTAAAGCTCGCAGGAGGAAAGAGGCCAGAGGAAAAACGACTGTATAGCTGCTACTGAGAAGAGGCTCGAGCAATTGGGTTCGAGAGTCTAGAGAAGAAAGACGTCATGTACTATCCACAGGTAACACACTGACATGGAAGTACAGAGGAACAGCCAAGGGCAGACAGATGCACATAGAGAGGCAGGCACACACGACAAAGCAAGCCAAAGACCGAACAAAGCAGCACAGACACACGAGAGTCAGATCAACTCAACAGACACACTGACTGGAAGCATATATATCGTGTGTGTATGTCTGTGTGTTGCACACACATCATGATGTGCAGGGCCAGCCGGCGGCTCGGCAAATCGACCTGACCGCAGCGGACAACATAGATCTCACTCAGGACGACGATGACGATGACGATGAAGACGACAACGCCCACATGCCGTTCCGCCAGCCAAACACCTACACGGCAGCCAACAACCAAGACCAAGGCGACGAGGTCGAGATCGTCGGGGTCAACGCGGCGCCGCCACGGCAGCAGCAGCAGGCCTACCCCTACGGCGGCCCATCAGGCGGCGGCTATCCACAGCAGATGCCCTACTCGTTCGCCCAGTCTGCGAGCGCGTATGGCTATGGGCAGCTCCCGGGCAACGCCATGTCGGCATCGTCACCCTATGGCAACCTGTTTAACCCATTCCCCATGCCGTCACCCGCATCGCATCACCAGGGATACCCCGAGCCCCCGCCACCGTCGAGGGGGAAGGGGTGGGTGCCCTACGAGCAGCTTCCCCGTGCGCCCCCTGCCGCGGCGGCCTCGTCGGCGAAGGCCAGGAGTGGGAGGGCGAGCGGGGCGGCTGCATCGTCGTCGTCGAGGGAGGAAATGTGCGCACATACACACACGATTTGTGTGAGAGTTGATGTGGACGGACGTGTATGTATCTGTGTGTGTGGCTGTCTGTCAGCATTGGCTACGTCGTGACCAAATGCAACGGCACCTCTCACTATGACGCGGTCGGGGAGAAAGAACGATGAGCCACTGCCGAAACACACTACAGTGAGTGCATCATGTCATGTGTTTGGGTGTTGGGTGTTGGGTGGGTGTGAATGTCAGTCTGAGGATGTGGACCGCAACGACGTGTTGACGTTGATGCGCGAGCCCGACAACATCTACGACGACAACTGCATACAAGTGCAGAGATTCGGCGAACAGGTGAGTGCACGGACGCACACAGCCGTGTGATGCCTGCCTGCATGGCTGCATCCATGGGCGGTGGTGCGGCGTGTGTCAGGTCGGGAACCTTCCACGAGACCCCGTCGCAAGTGCAATGGGTGAGCGAACCGTATACCAACGAAGAGATCATACCACACGTGTGTGTGTGTGTGTATGTGTCAGCGCCTCACATGGACAGTTTGGGCGATAGCATGATCCTCGAGGCCAAGCCAGAACCACAGGAGTTCAGGGGATGCCCTGGTACACTCACACACACACTTCACACACACACACACCCCGACAGATGAGTGATACACACCACATGTGCACATGAGCATGACGTGGCTGCCGTGTCGTGTTGCTATCATCAGCTGGCACGAGGTCCTTCCCCCTGCTCATCACTGTCAAGGCCCGAGGGTGACCAAGCACACGAACGAACGGCAGAACGCACTGCAGACGGACACACGCGTGCGCACGTCATCCATTGTCTGTCTGTCTGTCTGTCTGTGTGTCTGCAGCGGTGACGCCCTCCGTGTGCGTAATGCCCTGCAGCAGATTTCCGACTCATTCGGCTACGGCAAGGACAGAGGTGAGCCAACAACCAACACAAACAGGAAGCCTCCCACCGTACCCCTTTCTCTCTCTGTCTGCTTGCCTGCCTCAGTCCACATGGGCCCCGACCCCCCCTCGAAAGCCCCCAACCGACAAGCCCGCCGAGCAGCCAGCCGCAATGTCCTGCCGCGTACCGAGCCTTTCTTGCCAAGGGGGCCACACCGATTCCCATACACGGCCGGGATGGGCATCCCTGGCGCGGCGCCGTTCGCTCCTCGTGGCCTCGGCCCCTTCATGCCGTCGGCCTCGACGGGTGTGGGTGGCTACGGTGGCTATGGTGGGGTGCTGGGAGGGGGCGGGATGGGCCATCCTGGTGGGGCGGGAGGAGGGCTCGGTTTCGATTTCTCCCCCCCTGCACTGAATGGACCGTCGGAGGCCGGTGAGCGGAGTGACCGGAAGACGGTGTCACAGGGAGGGAGGGAGGGAGGGCATCTGGGATGGATGGATGACGTGTGTGTGTGTGTATTGTAGATATACTGGAGCGTGAGCTGGAGGGGCTGTATGCCGGTGCTGAGTATCACCTGATGGCCGAGGCCGATACGCCTGCACAGATTCAGACAGACTTGCTCGAGCACCAGGTCACACCACATGCCCCCCCTCCCCCCCCAACACACACACACACGACTCCGCAAACACACCGACCCTTCCCCCTGTGTGTGTGTGTGTCCAGCGGAAGGCTCTTCGGTGGATGATAGGTCGTGAGAAGCGGCAGACGATACTGGATGCCATCAACGAGCAGGTGGACGTCATCGACCTGAAGCAGGACGACGGCGATGGGGGCGATGACAAGGACAGCAAGAAGGACCCCATGGTGCTCTTCTGGAAGAAAACAGAAAACCCTGACATCATCCACAACGTGAGAAAAGGCTCACACCACACAGGGGGACCAGGTGTAGGTGTGTGTGTGTGTGTGTTGGTGTCCCCGTCCACCTACCCCATCCAGATTGCGACGAAGGAGCGGCGGTCGGGCAGCATGCCCCTCTTCCGTGGCGGCATCCTCGCCGACGATATGGGATTAGGTCAGAAAGATGGACGCGCATCATGGATGGCAATACGTCGTGGGCAGTCTCACAGCATGTGTGTGTGTGTGTGTGTGTGTACACGTCAGGCAAGACGGTGACCACTTTGTCTCTCATCTGCGCCAACGGCAGCGGCATCAACAGCACTGAGCCCCTGGACAGCACCGCCTTCGACGATCCCTCCCCCTCTCCCTCCCCCTCCCCATCAGACGAGCCCCCAGCCTTCCCATCAGACCCCCACTACCTCCCCGGCCTCGCCCCATCGCCATCCGACTCTGACGATGACGACGACGATATGGACAACGACTTCGGTCTGCCGGTCATGCATAAGAAGCGGAAAGTAGAGGGAGCTGGTGGCGGTGGCGGTGGTGGTGGTGCGCGTAAGGTGGGCAAGGGGAGCGGGGGCGGGCGGGCGAACGGGAGCGGGGGTCTGCTGCGGGGGGGGACGCTGGTGGTGTGTCCGCTGACGGTCGTGGCCAACTGGAAGAAACAGGCGGAGGTCTTCGCGCCGCACCTCAGGTGAAAGGATGGGTGGGTGTGTGGATGGATGGAGTGGGTAGGATATGGATGTGTGGTGTGTCGTGTGTCGTGTGTGGCGTGTGGTGATGCAGGCAGTATGAGTACTACAAGGACCGTGGCGGCGTGACCCCCTCGTTGCTCGCGAGCTACGACATGGTCATCACCACATTCAACATCGTGCAGACTGAGTGTACGCAGGAGAGGGCACGACGGACGATCCATCCATCCCTCTATGTGTGTGTGTGTGTGTGTGTCCACTCGTTCGTTCATTGACCATGCAGTCAAGAACGAGAGGCGGTCGTCAAAGTCTGCCAACCTCAAGGCCATCCACTGGCACCGCATCGTCCTCGTAAGGCCAGAGCTGAGCTGACCCTCACACACATACAGGCGGGTGCAGTGCAGCATCTGTGTGTGTGCTTGTGCGTTGGAGTGGTGCGCAGGATGAGGCACACATGATCAAGAACCGGAAGAGCCAGACTGCACAAGCGGTCGCGCACCTGGTACACACCAAGTGGAGGGAGGGAGGTGGTGGGCCTGCCGACTCACTTTGTGTGATGAACTGTCTGTCGTGCTGTGGCTCTTTCACTCATTCAGCGTGCGACGATCCACTGGTCTTTGACTGGGACGCCCATCCAGAACAAAGTCGAGGACATCTACTCGCTCCTGCACTTCCTCAGGCAACTGACACAAAACCACTAGCACACACACACACACATTAACACAAACCATCCGCTGCACCGCACCAACACCAACCAACGCTCACCTCTCCGTGTCTGTGTGTGTGTGTGTGTGTCTGTATGTGTGTGTGTTTGCAGGGCCAAGCCATTCGACGACTGGGAAGTGTAAGTCACAGGGACGCGCAATCACACCACGCACACACGGATCGATCCCTGCCATGCATGGTCTCAGCTGATGGCCTCTCTCTGTCTGTCACTATATATGGACATCTGTGTGTGGTGTGCGCCAGTTTCTGCAGCAAGATCAACAAGCCCATCAAGAGGTGCGACCCCAACGGCTTCAGGAGGCTCCAAGTGGTCGTCAGATACACAAGTGAGCAAACGGCACACCGCACGCGACACACGCACACATGATATCTGCCGGCAACAACACAACACACCCTCCTGCCTGCCTGTGTGGTTGTGTGGTTGTGTGGGGTCAGCTCTCCGCCGCACCAAGCACCAGCGCGTCAAGGACCCAGAGACGGGCATCGAACGGCCCCTGCTCCAGCTGCCACAGCTGCACAGGTCCTTTGTGCGTGTGTGTGTGTGTGTGTGCGTGTGTGTGATTCGTTCATTCGCTGACTGACTCATTGATTCGTTCGTCGATTCCCTCCCTCCCTCACTGGTCGGTCGGTCAGGCACAAGGTGTACTGCGAGTTCCACGAGTACGAGGGTCGGCTGTACCGAGTGCTCTACGACCGGACGCAGAAGCTGGTCAAGAAGCTGCAGGAGGCAGACGAACTCGGCAAAAACTTCTCCAGCATCCTTATCATGCTCCTGCGGTCCGTGCACACACCACACCACACCAACACCATCTGTCTGACCTCTCCGGCGGCTGTGTTGGGTGCGTGCAGGTTGCGCATGTTGTGCTGCCACTCGTCGCTGCTTCCGGAAGACATGCTCAGGGTGAGTGAGCCGAATGCCCGCCCGCACACAAGGTGGCCCATTTGTTCTCCATGTGTTTGTGTGTTTGTGGTTGGTTGTGGTGTGTGTAGTCGTTGGAGGCTGCGAGTGAGGGTGACATCGGTGCGACGGCGAGGCTGGAGCGGTCCATCATGCAGCTCGGCGCTTCGGAGGTCAAGAGCCTGCTGCAGATACTCAGAGACTCCAAAACAGGTCTGTCGGTAGGGAACGGTACACAGACATCCCATCCACCTGTCTTGTCTTGCTGTGGGTGGTGGTGTAAATCTGTGTGAGTGTGTGTGTGTGGCTGCAGACCAGTGTTCGATTTGTCTGGAGGAGGGGAGCGACATGATCATTTCCACCTGCAGACACGTCTTCCACAAGTCGTGCCTCGAGACGTATGCACCGACACACGCCAGCCACACCACCAAGGACAGGACACCTACCTGCCTACATATGGGAGTGGGTGGTGCTGGGCGCGGTGCAGGCACCTGAAGAGCCTCAAGCAGTGTCCGAATTGCCGCGGCCCTGTCAGGATGTCAGACCTGGTCGAGGCCTCAGAAGACGCCGAAGTAATACTGACAGACAGACAGACAGACAGACAAGCACATACTCACAGCCACATCGGGAGGCGTGTGTGTGTGTGTATGTGTGTTCTCAGCTGTTTGATGGTGACAATGACGACAGCTACTCGTACAGCAGCAGCAGTGCCGCCACGGGAGCGCATAACCGCACATCGGCCAAGCTCGAGCAGATCTACCGACAGATCCACGGTCAGCACTCTCTCTCTCTCATGCGACCCGCGCCATACGTGGTGGTGGGAGATACTATCTTCATGGCTGTTGTGTGTTTGGGTCGGTGTGTGTGTGTTCAGTGTCCTTGTCTCAGTCCAACCACGGCAAGCCCGCAAAGTGCGTCGTCTTCAGTCAATTCACCAAGGTCCGCTCGACACACACACACTCACACACACACGAGCGACACACATGCAACTTTGTCTCTGTCTGTGTGTGTGTGCAGTTCCTGGACATCATCCAGAGAGGGCTGCAAGACAGACGTACGATTGCAGCCGTGTGTGCATGCATATTCTCCTCAATGTGTGCCTGTGGTGGTTGGTATCGCGATGCAGGTGTGCCGTTCGTGCGTCTGGATGGCAAGATGGTGAGCGGCCGGCCGGCCGGCCGACCGACGCACTGCAGGCGTCACAAGGCGCCTGCTGGCTGATGTTTGTCTCTCTGTGCGTGCATGCGTCAGACGAAGGATCGTCGGCAGGCAGCCATCAACTCGTTCGACAACGACCCGCACATCCGCATCTTCCTCGTCAGTCTCAAGGCAGGCGGCCTGGGACTCAACCTCACGGCGGCCAACAGCGTCATGCTGGTACGACTCCACCCGCACGGACACACGGAGGCAGGCAGGCAGACAAAGGCATTCCATTCATTCAAACTGTGTCTTGTGTCATGGCGCGCCCATCCATACATCAGGTCGACACGTGGTGGAACCCTGCTGGCGAGGACCAAGGTACGCAGCCCGACCGACAAACGACACACCAATCAGCCCTGGCCCGGCTCATCCATCCATCCATCCGTCCATCTATCCATGTGTGTGCGTGTGTGTAGCCGTGGACCGAGTGCACCGCATCGGTCAGGATCGTGAGGTGCACATGCAGCGGATCCTGGTCAGGGGCAGCGTCGAGGAGAAGATGCTCGCCGTCCACGACAAGAAGAGGCAACTCGCAGAGGGGGTCATGACCAAAAAGACCAGAGAAGAACTCAAAACGTACACACACGCACAGAGAGAGAGAGAGAGACTGACTGACCGACGGACCGACCGACACGCATACCCGCCCACACCCCGTTCGTGTGTATCGTGTTGTGTTGTGTTGTGTTGTGGTGCAGGTTGATGCAGAAGTTGATTCTGAGCATCTTCCAGCTTGACCCAGACAGCCAGCGACAGCAGGAGGAGAAAGAGCAGGACGACGAAGATCCAGATCTCGAGTGGGAAGACGACTGACTGACCCATACGTAGAAAGGCAGAGGCAGGCAGGCAGGCAGGCCGGTAGGTGGGCATATCGCACCCATGATGTACGCTTGAAGATGGCGTGGCCGGGCGTGGCAGGCAGGTAGCAGTAGGCGCGTGAGTGAGGGTGGTTTTGTTGGTCGCATGACTGCATCGGCGCGTCGGTCAATTCATGGGAGCGAGCGCCGGTCGGCGTAGAAGAGGCAGGCGGACAGGCAGACGGGCAGGGGGGGGAGGGTACACAGACAATGAACCAGCACTGACTCGCAATGCGATGCGGATGTGTTGTGTTGTGTGTTATGTTGGCTAGGTGGTGTATCTGTGTGTGGCCATGCATGCAATACGTCGCCTGCTTTTTTGATGGTGTTGATCGTACTTACGTGGTTCAACGCCTACATCACTGACAGCCAGCAGGGCTGCTTTGGAAGAAGAAAGAGATGGATCAAATCCTTGCATGACAAGATCGCGTGGCCGGCCGCCTCCGGCGGCCGTGTGTTCGCTTCGATGGTGGTGGTTAAGGGTAAGATTTAGGCTTCGATTGGGAAAGATCGGGAAAGGAGGTGGCCCTCCCGCCAGTCCGCCGCCGACAAAACCAAGGGTTTTGACTCCTCTAGGGTCAAGGGTTTTAGAATCAAGGGTTCTGAATGTGAATGATGACTTCTGTTGCCGCCTTCATCCCCTCGTTGCATTGTACAGACAAACGAAAAAGGGTGCAGACAGTAGACACATCTACGACAAATACAGACGGCAAGAAAGGGACAGACACACAGACACACAAACACACAGACACATTCATCACGACCTAAAAATGCAAACGTATCATCACTATCTAGATGCCATGAGCCGATAGTGCTTCTTGAAGGCTTCGTTTCAGAGCATCTACCGTGCGGCTTCCACATCTGACGCCGTGCGTAAAATTGCCTGACTCGTCAATACTATACAACTCACAAACATCTATCTGACTCTTCGGATTCCACACCAACCAAAAGCCCACCCCCGTTCTCTCTGCAAGCGTGAACTCAATTCGTAGAGCTGCCTTCAGCCGGCGACGAACCGACCGCGCGAGTCTTCTTGCTGCCGATGCATAATACGTGTCGTCAGTCAGTTGCTCTTCGTCAATTTGAAGCCTCGAAGCTCTCTTGCCGAACAGATCCTCTCGCCAATCAACCATGTTTCCAGCATCAGCATCGCCTTTGTGCCCCTCATCAGCCGTAGTGCAAGCAGCCTTCTGCTTGGCTCGAAATCTCCTCATCCGAATCTTTGAGGCTTCTCTCTCCCTTGAAAGCCGATCACTGTCAAAGCGAGAACGCCTCTTCCACTGCTGAAGACTATGCACAGCTCGCATCGCTTCCTTCGCTGCAGAAGACAGTCCAGCGCGGTGCTTCCGTTGCCGGAAGGTCGCAGCATGGCTGAGAATTGCTTTCTTGTCGGCGGATAGATTGCTGCGGCATTGCTGTTGCCTCCGTGCTGCGAGCTCCCGCCGTCTCCTTATCCTCTCGTCGATATCAGGTACGTCAGTGGAGGAACGCCCGTTGGTAGGCAGCGAGGTGGGAAGATAAGGGGGAACGCCTCTCGCCGCGCACAGCTCCTCATATCGTCGTACCACTCCCTCAAAGCACTCCCTAACGGAAGCCTCAGTGAGCGACGATGGGCGGAACATCTCTGATGTGCTGGATCCAGCCATATTCAGCCAGTAGATGCCATCCTTTGACCACGTGAGAGTCGCCATCTTCGAATTCATCCGCACGCGGCACCTGTAATCGTGAAGAAGGCGTTTCGCGAGCGCATTGAGACCTCGGACAACTTCTCGAAAGCGAGCATCTGCGAACACACAGACACACACCCTCGAAATCCACCGACCTTATCACGGATGGGTGGGCACCTACCGGCTTGAGCCCTCACTTCGGACGATGTGCGGCTCCTGCCGTCATCAGCTTCATCGGCTGCTGCGCCATCAACAGAATCTTCGCTGGGAGCCTCCTCTTCAGCAGGTTGACGGCCCTCATTCTCATCAGATCCAGAAGGAGAGCGGTGGCAGAGCAGGTGCTCTGTCCCAGAGCGATGCGCTTCGCTGCTCCCGCGGGGAAACATGCCCAGCTGCTAGTCGTTTCGTGCCGGTTGCCTTGTGGGGAAGTCGCGTCGTGGGGTGACGTGACGCACGCAATATCTACAGAAACTCTCACGTCATTCATGTGGTGGTGGTTAAGGGTAAGATTGTCCGTGTGTCCCATGCGCTGGGACGGTCGATTACATGTTCGCATCTAAACTATTGACAGCAACGATCAAAACATTCGCTACCTACCCATTCACGCCCACCCACCCACCCCCTGCAATCAACGAGGGTGGAAAGGCCCCCGCTCTAGCAACAGCCCCTCAGCAAAACCCGCC